ATGTAGTTACTGTAGTAATTCTACAGCTAGAGTACAGACTATAAAGTGAGTTAGTGAACGCTATCATTTTGAATGAGATTGTATTANGAATGAATGTCTCTAGACTTATTAGAACGATCTCCGAAATTTGGGTTGGTAACCCTAGTCAGTAATAATCTCGTCTATATTTTCCATTTTTCGAGATTACCCGGTATGCTTATCTATTTGAAAGAAAAGAAAATGAAACTAGCGTGTCGAGGAATTTATTTATTTCTTCAATAACGATTTGCATGTTGTTATGGGTTCGTCTTGTGAATAATATGTATATTTTGCAACAAAATTTATAGCGGCAACAACAGCTAAAAACGTGACTTTGACTATGTTGACATTTTCATTGTGCTTCACAACGTGACGCCGTGCCGATTAATGATCTTAGAAGAATCATTCCAATTAGCAGAATTAGAACTCACAAATCTTCCTTTCTTTCATGTTTGTTCTAAATATAAACTGCCTAGACTTTTTACAAAAAGCAATAAAATCATCCATCTGTTGTATTACTAATTCTATATAAAATTCTTAAAAACAGTATAAATTGATTGACAATCAATTTTTCTTGGAATAAGGACTCTTTAAAATAATGATAGAATTGTTGATATCTTTTCTCTTTTTTTTCGATTTTTTCAGTTGACGAAGATCTACGATCAATAATTAGTATTGGTCGTTTGACTTTTTACGAAATTCCTTACACAAACATTAACGGACTTTAATTCCAAGGTTGAACAGCAGGTGCCTGTTTTTTGTTCTTTACTTGCTCTTTTTTCTCTTCATTCCAATTCAAAACAATTACGTAAATTTAGAAATATTTTATTTATAAAATGTTGCAATAAGTATGTAGATATTTTTATCTTTAGAAGGACATCGTGGCATACGATTAAAGATTAAATTAAAATAGAAGTGGATTCTCGCATTTAGTTTATTAAATTCTGTACCATAAGGAATTAAACTTACTTTATTCACGAAATATAAAAGCTCTTTCAAGAAGGTATTTTATTTTTTTTATATCATAAAAAAGAATGGTTAATTTAGAAATCCCAAAAAGATAGTTAAAGGTGTATGCTTGGAGCGCGGCATTGTACGGGTGCGAAACATAGACGGTGGACGCGGCGGAAAAGAAAAGGTTAGAAGTGTTCGAAAATGTGGTGTTACAGGCGAATGATGAGGATACCGTGGATAGAGAAGGTTAGAAATTAAGACATACTTACAAGAAAGAACAGAGATAACTATAAGAAATAGGCGAGATAGGTTGGCGGGTCATTCTTAAGCATGAAAGGCTAGTTAGAGGAATATTAGAAGAAAAAGCAGGAGTTAAGAAGAGAAGGGATAGTTCAGAAATTGTTAAGGATGTGGGTTGTTCTAGTTTTAGGGAAATGCAAAGATTAATTCAGGATAGGAAAAAGTAGAGATGCGTGCCTAACCAGTCGTAAAACTGGAGAAGACGTATGAGTACTGAAATAATTGCAACCAGAGCCGTAGTCAGGGGCCCAGGAAAATTTTGAATAATAATGAAACTTAATGCAATGATTATTTATTACAGTGGATGTAATAAATTCAAATGGAACTTCGATTTCGGATAGGTTTCTGTTAATCAATTTTAGAAAGACATTCGTCAGATTTTGACAACATATTTTGTTCGTTACGTAGAGACGCAGTTAGAACAAATTTTGTGAAAATCGCATTATGAAGGATTGAAAGAAAAAAAAATCCAATAAAATCGAATTAATTTTTGGGAAGAGAATTTCGGAAAATTGCGCATTATATTTTTTGATGTATTAAATTAATATTATTGTAGATGATACCGATTATAATAATCACTATTTTCTGCATTTCTGATTGTGAATTAGTTTAATTAGGATTTGCTTTCACTTGTAGCCTCCTTCGTAGTGTAAAATATCAAAACATTAAAGCACGTGTAGCCATGACCCAGCAAATGCAGATTGCTTCTATAGGTGGGTGTGTTTGGAATTGTTCTTTGTTTATTTATTCAACTGACGCTAAAGTATTTTCAAGGTGTCACTTCTAATATTTACCTATGCGGGTATAAATTCTAGGATTATCTACGTTAATAATGAGTTCATGCTAAATTTTAAATGTCTGCATAGGCTTGCTATTACTCCATTTTTGTTTTTATCGTATGTATACCAAGACAGGCGTGCAAGGAGTACTATCATCAAAATGAATAATTTATTATTTAAGAACATTATTAACAGCAAATACCCACTAGATGGCGGTATACTGTCTATACATGGATATTTATTATTTGTGACTATCAATACCAAAATTATTTTTCCAATTCCAACAATAGAAAAAACGAAAGAAAAGGGAAAGGATGCGTACATAGGATTTCGACAATGTTAAATGAGACAAGAGTTAAATATATTTAAAAATGTAGCGATGAGCTACAGAGATAGAAGAGTGATACTTAGTTTGTATAAGATAGATAGAAATAAGACAGAGATTAGCATTCTTAGATTTGCAGATGATTTAGCAGTATTAGCATCTAGCAAGGAGAAGTTAGAGATAGCTTTAAATAAAAGGGATGCGGTATTGATAAAACAGTACTGCATGAAAATAAATAAAAGGGAAAAAAATACTGGTATGCAAGGGAAGAAAAAGTAGGAAAATTAGAAAAAGTGCTGGTTTTAGGTATCTAGGAAGTCAGGTAGGTCAGAACAGAAGGAGTAGTAGGGATACAAAGCAGAGCCTTCGATAAAAAGAAGGCACTATACTCGAGAACGGTTAATTTAGAAATTCGCAATAGATTGTTAAAGGTGTTTTTTGGAGCGCGGCAGTGTACGGGTGCGAAACATGGACAGTGGGCGCTGCGGAAAAGGAAAGGTTAGAAGCGTTCGAACTGTGGTGTTACAGGCGAATGATGAGGATAGAGTGAATAGAGAAGGTTAGAAATGAAGAGGTATTAGAAAGAATGAGGACTCTATGGAAATCAATAAAAAATATACGAGAGAGGTTGGTAGGACATCTTCTCAGGCATGAAGGTCTGGTCAGAGACATATAAGAGGCTGAAACAGGAGAAGTAGAGGTTGAGCTATATTAGATAACTGTTCGCAGAAAGTTAAGGATATGGGTTGTTCTAGTTTTAGGGAAATAGGAAGATTAGCTTAGGATAGGAAAGAGTCGAGGTGTGTGTTCAACTGGTTTGAGGACTGACGACCTTATGATGATATAAATACACTTCCTTGTCTATTTGATTATTTTATTTTGGATCTTAAACAAAAATTGGATTGTTTTTAATGTTTCAGGAGGCTTACCTGACATCTGACAATTTACGGGAATTGTAAATAAATTAAAAATTAGTAATAATAATTAACTTTTATTGTTTAATTTACACTAACTCGCTAAAAGGAATAATGTAGATAGATAGATTTAAACGAATATGCTACACATTTGTACGTATTAATTTCTACAGATATATTATTTGTGTGTTGAAATGGATAGTGACCACAGTCCAAAATGTAATACCTCCAAAATTTTTCCAACTATTTTGTATAATAATAATAATATTAAACTTCCTTTTACTTTCTAAAAAAACAATAAGGAACGTAACGCACAATTACGCAATACAAAGTTTGTCTTATAAATCAGACGTAATAACACAACAGAATTTACACTTGTTAACGCTACATAACACGTGTGACATCAGGTTGTAACATCGTCCACAGTTGAGGCTTTCTCATGCGAGATAAGATCACAACGTATTTCTTGACATGATCGTTTTTTAGCGGCATCGAAAATTATTCTCATTTCGTCCATATTTTCTGCCAAAACCGTTTCCCTTTTAACAAACAATCAATAAATTAAAAAATAAAACTACCACTCCAGCACATGGGTGGGAATATTAGATTCATCTTGAAATCCAGAACTTTCTAGATCTTTTATTTTATCAAAAATGAGGAAGTATCGGAAAAATTAGGAGAACAGATGGCGCTAAGAATGTAAATACGGAGAAAAAGAGAAATAAGATGTTAGAGCATCTTTCTTTGGTCGTATCAGGCGTTTTGATTCCCTGACAAAATGTCACCGGACAAAATATCCCTGACACAATATATCCCTGGATAAAATATCCCCGTGACAAAATATCTCCAGACTAAATAACACCGAACAAAAGCCCCGATAATAAATTATCGAACCGATACTCCAATAAATAATATAACGATAAGGTGGCATGGCGCAAGTTTGACCGGATTAGGTTAGGTTATGTTAGGTTAGGTTATGTTAGGCTAGGTTAGGTTGCGCTGTATTGACTTGGGTTGGATTGTATTATGTTTGATCATGTGAGGTGTGGTTGGTAAGGAGGACAGGGTTAGGTTAGGTTAGGTTGAATAAAATATTGGAAAAAATTTCTTATAGCGATTTGTAGGGTGGGGGGGATATTTTGTCTAGGGATATTTTGTCCGGTGATATTATGTCGGGGGATGAAAAATCATGGAACCCTTTCGGTACATCAAAGGATAAATGAGGAGTTAGAGAGATATACCTACGTATTATAAGCAGAAGCAGGAACAAAGTGGGGCAGAGAACGGCAAATGGAGGTGTTGGGTGTTCTGCCTTCCGGGAAATGCGAAAATTGAAGAAGGATATAAGAAGGTCTTTTAGTTCCTTTAGAACACTATAAGTTCTAAGTCAATAATTCATTGAAATTATCAGTAGCACACGTGTATAATGATTGTAAACTTATTCGATCTCTTCAGCACGGCATAGACAGTCTCTACGAACCTATATATTGCCGTAATTAGACAGTGTAAGCGTTTGACTTATAGGTACATATAAAAAGTTTATTATGATTAATTTTCGGAGGCTTTTTCTTTAAGTTACTTTTTGAATAGAAAAATAATTTTACTGATGAAAAGGATTTTTGAAATATACTGAAAAACTTTTGTTTACTGTGAAATTTTAGTTTCAAAAGTTTCTATTAGGAATTATAATTTAGGTACTGAAAATTATACTTACTGTTCTATAAACGCCGTGAATAATCTTTCGACATTTTGAATACCATATTCAGACATTTGGGCCCCAACAATTAGTTCGCAAATAATTCGTTCTTCGCACTCTTTCTGTACAATTTTATCCAAATCATACGGACTTGATACGTTGTTGATATCTTCCAAGAGTTTTTGAGTTCTTCGCCTGGTGTCCATTGTCATAGTTTCTCTATACAATTAAAAAATTTCAAAAAAAGATCATTTAAATATAAGTACGATTAAATGTAGGTAATTCTAATTAGGAACAATGAAAATTTTGAAACATACGTCATCGATGTGTTGTTGTTGCTGTTGTTGTTAATTGGCGTAACATTAACTACAGCAGGTGATAAGGCACTTATCAGTAATCCTATTGGAATAACAGCGGCCAAAAATTTTACGGCTTTCTTCAAAAATAAATACTTGTAATTTGGATATTCCCTTTGAGGCGGATAATGCGGATGATCATAATATGTCTTTGAAATAGCAGGTGGTCTATCATAGGCGTCATAGTTTGCAACTTCATATAGTTCTTCTTTTGGATAATGCAGTCCTCTTGATGGGACATTTCCGTATTTTCCCAATTCTCGAACCTCATAGACTTCTTCCTTAACTTGAGATCCAACAGGTTTATGATAAAAGCTGTTCTCCGTTGTAGTACGTATTTCATAAACGTGTCCTTCCCCTTGACCTTCGTACTGATGGTCAGACACGAAATTGTAAGGGTGACTTGCACTTGTACGTATATGTGACGTTTCGGTGGGATACGACGCAACATCATCAGATGTTGATGATTTTTTATCAAAAGAATTAAAAGTTGCAGAAGGTAGTTGTGCGTTTCTTTCCGGGAATCTCCAACTTGGGCTGGATTTAATTGGCTCGGCAGGTTGTAAAATATATGGTGCTTTTCGGGGTTCCCCTATAGCTGGTACCACAGGTTGCTCGTTAAATTCAAAATTGGTATCCAACTGTGGGCTTGGTCTAAAATCTCTTGGACTTGGTTTGAAATTATCGTCACTTCTTTTGTAATGATCGTTACCACCATTTTCGTTCTTTTGACCATTTGGGTACATTTCACCAAATACGTGTCTCATGGGTTCCGTAATTCTTTCCAAAGTAACGTTGATGGGCTGATCGAAACGTATTTCCTCTTTAAAATTTGGATCGTCACCGTCCACTACCGATACAATATGTGGTAACTCGGTAAAATTTCGACAAACACAACTCGATATTGAAACAAAAATGGCTACAATTAGGAGTGACATCGTTGTTGTTCGATTTGAACGTAAAATGCCACAGTGAGTTCTATTTATAAATATTTGCCAGCAAAACTAATTCGAAAATGCTTTCCAAGCTTCATGCATCACGAAGAACAATTCAAAATAGCTTAAGTACAAACATATTGTATTTAGTAAACAAAGCATATAAAAAGAAAGTACATTTTGTAGATAATATCCGTTCTAAATGCATCAAAAAGTTATACTACTTCGTTCATTAAGTTTACAAGGAAGAATCTGTTCCTTACATGCCCGGTAGATAATGAGGGTAAGGTGGATAATGTTGGCTGTACCCACACGAAAAATTCCGAGTAAATAAACTTTATTTCACCCCATTTATTAGGATAACAGAAAATTGAAAACTATAATAAATAGTCACTTATATACATATATAAGAAAAACCTAATTTTTTTTTATTTATACGTCAATTTTGCTAAAAAAAATACAAAAATCAGATGAAATCTGAGATAGTCCATATCGACCTCTTATTTAATATCTTTAATTCTCCGGCAGCTTTCTGGGCAATGGTCCAAAAGCAGTGAAAAATACAAAATAATTATTTCATAAGAGTCATAATTTGTGTCAAAAACGATAAAGTTATGTGTAACGGTTTGACATCAAAATAAAAAGATTATTTATACGTAATATTTTTGGTTTAATCGAGGATAATGTTGAGTTTCACGTAAAACAGTTATTTTGGTTGCCTAATTTTCTTTGTAGTAGTATTTACTGTATGTTGGGTTGTGTATAAATTATGTTACAAATTGCAGTTTAATTATAAAAACACAATATAACTTAGCATTTACATGACAAAAATATAGTTTAAAGATGAAAAGTCGTTAGTCTACTTCAATGAAACTAAAATTATAGCCCAATTATAGTACTTATTTTAAATTGTCACGGCGCCTCCACCATAATTTTAAATAATTTTTTAATTCACTCTTTCTTGGGAAACCACTGTTCCTTTACGGAAGGTTGTGGACAACGATACTTCGCTATTTCTATTTCAGCATCGAAGAAACTAGATTGATGATAACAAAAGTATTCAGGATTTTTATATTCCCCATCTTTTTTAGCATTAGGTCCTACAGGTCCTTTAATCTCATTAATGACTGCACCACTAAGTCCTACCACTTTATTAAGATCGCCAATGTCTGACTGTGAAGGTGGGGGCCCCTTGTTAGTCTTTGAAGACTGTTTTGAAGGTGATTTGCTACTGCCTTGAGTCTTGCTGTATAAAANTATTAGTAAATTTATTAAACCTTCTTTTTGAAGACGGAGTCTAAAGAAATTTGAACTGTTACTGCTAACAACTATATTTATTTGATATACATAAATGCAGTCTGTGAAAGTAATTATGATTTCAAAACACTGAAATCTGTAGATGCAAATGAACATTTTTCACTTTGTTTGTCTAATCTGGGTATTTTTACGTTGTGTACTGCACTTAACGACTTTTTATACGATTTTTGATAGAGAAAGATTTTTTTGTCAGCTTTATTTGGGAAAAATTTGCTGTTTCTTTTTCAATTAAATTTTAGAAGATATCTTTTAAAAATATTACAAACTAATTACATTTTCTACATAATATTTTGTAGCTTGTTCGCGAATAGTATTGGCCATTACGTAATAACGAATTTCCGTGAGAAAAATCGTTCTCTAATTTTCTTTGTAGTTACTTAATTAGAGTTGTAATATTTGCTGTATGTTGGGTTGTATATGTGCTACATTACAAATTGTAGTTTAATTTTAAAAAGAAAAATATAAATTAGCATTCCTAATTGCGTCTATAAAGAAAAACTATAACTAAAGATGGAAATTTATCAATTTATTTTAATAAAACTATAATTATTGGTCAATTATATTTTCTGTTTGAAATTATCCCGGCGCCTCCACCAAAATTTGTAATAAATTTGTTTTTAGAAATATTTATTTTTATGAATATCTTATTTTCGGTATTAAAACGATTGCAAAATTAACCATTCAGAAGGATGATAAATGATTGTCAAAGGTTCTTGCTTACGAACAAACTCTTACAAAACCTCAATACATTGGTAAATTTGATTAGCAAATTACAAATTTTGTAATCTCTTTGTACATGTACTTTTAACTACTAATGAAAATAAATAAAAGCTGATTACGCTCCCGTCGAAAAAGTACACGTTCTTGGAGGCAAGCATTTTGTGAAAATCCTATTTATATATAAAGTAGCGAATTAATTAAATTGTTTTTCATTTCTTTTTGACTATCTATAAACAATTTTCCTTTTGTTTCAGCATGCCGGATAATTTGCTTCTGAAGGAACGCAGTTAGAACAAATTTTGTGAAAATCGCATTATGAAGGATTGAAAGAAAAAAAAATCCAATAAAATCGAATTAATTTTTGGGAAGAGAATTTCGGAAAATTGCGCATTATATTTTTTGATGTATTAAATTAATATTATTGTAGATGATACCGATTATAATAATCACTATTTTCTGCATTTCTGATTGTGAATTAGTTTAATTAGGATTTGCTTTCACTTGTAGCCTCCTTCGTAGTGTAAAATATCAAAACATTAAAGCACGTGTAGCCATGACCCAGCAAATGCAGATTGCTTCTATAGGTGGGTGTGTTTGGAATTGTTCTTTGTTTATTTATTCAACTGACGCTAAAGTATTTTCAAGGTGTCACTTCTAATATTTACCTATGCGGGTATAAATTCTAGGATTATCTACGTTAATAATGAGTTCATGCTAAATTTTAAATGTCTGCATAGGCTTGCTATTACTCCATTTTTGTTTTTATCGTATGTATACCAAGACAGGCGTGCAAGGAGTACTATCATCAAAATGAATAATTTATTATTTAAGAACATTATTAACAGCAAATACCCACTAGATGGCGGTATACTGTCTATACATGGATATTTATTATTTGTGACTATCAATACCAAAATTATTTTTCCAATTCCAACAATAGAAAAAACGAAAGAAAAGGGAAAGGATGCGTACATAGGATTTCGACAATGTTAAATGAGACAAGAGTTAAATATATTTAAAAATGTAGCGATGAGCTACAGAGATAGAAGAGTGATACTTAGTTTGTATAAGATAGATAGAAATAAGACAGAGATTAGCATTCTTAGATTTGCAGATGATTTAGCAGTATTAGCATCTAGCAAGGAGAAGTTAGAGATAGCTTTAAATAAAAGGGATGCGGTATTGATAAAACAGTACTGCATGAAAATAAATAAAAGGGAAAAAAATACTGGTATGCAAGGGAAGAAAAAGTAGGAAAATTAGAAAAAGTGCTGGTTTTAGGTATCTAGGAAGTCAGGTAGGTCAGAACAGAAGGAGTAGTAGGGATACAAAGCAGAGCCTTCGATAAAAAGAAGGCACTATACTCGAGAACGGTTAATTTAGAAATTCGCAATAGATTGTTAAAGGTGTTTTTTGGAGCGCGGCAGTGTACGGGTGCGAAACATGGACAGTGGGCGCTGCGGAAAAGGAAAGGTTAGAAGCGTTCGAACTGTGGTGTTACAGGCGAATGATGAGGATAGAGTGAATAGAGAAGGTTAGAAATGAAGAGGTATTAGAAAGAATNTCAGTGACAATGCGACAACAATTGAAAAAGAATGATGGCCGACAACTGCAACAATTAGAAAAGAATGATGGCCGACATCGGTAACAATGCGATAATTGAAAAAGAATGATGGCCGACAACTGCAACAATTAGAAAAGAATGATGGCCGACACTACGTCATAGTGTAGCAATAAAAATGGCCGGGGACAGGGGAAGAACTAATTATTATAAAATAATTGATTACCGTGCGTGGGCATTTAAAAGTGATCACCTGTATATTAAATATACACTCGGTTTGAATATAGGCAACTTCTTTTAAGCCTGAATGTTAACGGGTAGCATACTATACAGAAATAAAGAGTGTCAACTTAACCTGCAATAAATGTGACGTTTAGATAACATCGTCACTTTTAGCAATGTGTTTATTTAAATTAAATGATATTTAATGGAAAAAATGGCAAGACCTCATACGAATTATGAATATAATTCGTTAAAAAGTGAAGATTTTGAAATCGACTTGAAGCCTGAGGAAACTAAATTAGAGGTTTGTCTATTATTTATTTTTTTACACTTTTATGAATAAGGAAACTATGTTTTTGCATATTTAGCTTTATGATGACCTGGAAGAACACGTTGAGGGTGAAATTAGAGTTCCTGGGAGCAAAAGCAACGCAAAATTAGGAGAACCTGGGTTCAACTCATTAGATGAACCAATAAAAGAGACCATAGTAAGAATGCCCTTATCAAAACTTTGTGTCAAGTTTCATCTTATTGTTTTTATAGCTTAGAGATGTTAAAATAATTGGTATAAAGTTTTTCTATGTATTATTCCCAAGAGAGAAAAAGACACTTTTAAAGGAATGTAAGTAATAAATAGTGTTTAATGTGTCTTATAATTGAAATCCTGGATGTTGTAGGGGACCTATGGGGACCTTTAATCATATGCACATTCATGGCAATGTAAGAAAATAGTTGTATTACAATTCTTTCAGTAATAAATTAATTTTTAAGGATATTACAAGGCTCTAGAGTAGATAAATCAAATGATGGAGGCCCTGAATTTGCCGAAGTATTTATTATTGTTTGGGTGGGTTCTATGATTGTAACGCTCAATTCCAAACTTTTAGGGGGACACATGTAAGTAATCTTTATTACATTAATTTGTTTAATAATCAGTACACAGACACAATACGGTTGTTTGAAGTTTTACATTTTATTTTTGACCATCTATTAAGACATTCATATAGATGTATTAATAGTTATAATTAAAATTGCGATCAGTGTCATGTTTTATACAAGGGTGAGTGAAGATGATCTATTAAAACTAAACTTTAAGAACACATTTACACATTAGAAAAATATTAAAATTCCCATGTACTTATTATAGTTTTTATTTTTCTTTCGGTTATAAGACTTTTAATGACATACTCTGCTAAGTTCATCTTGATTAGTTTTAACTTAATTGTGTTCTAGATCATTTTTTCAAAGCATATGTGTTCTTGGCTATTGCTTACTTCCTACGGCAATGGCATTGATTATTTGCCGAATAATTTTATTTATGGAGCAAACGTACTTTTTGTTTTTCTTTCGTTTTACTGTGACCATGATTGGGTATGCATGGGCAGTATATGGTAAGTTTTTCTCCAAACCAAATATTACAAATTTATTAACTAAAATTGACAATGAACTTCTATTACAAATTTTCCTAATATTTACTTCTTTATTTACTTGTATTGTGAATATTATTCTATATATTTTTTCTTCGCTGTTATTTTTATCTTTTTGAAGTTTAAATATCGTTTTCTAGCATCAGTAATTTTTCTTGGAGACAGTCAAAAGTCTGGTCGAAAAGCACTTGCAATGTACCCTATATGTCTGTTTTATTTCGTTATTTCATGGCTCGTGATCTCTCACACAAATGCATAGTACTATTTAGTTAATTTGTGATAGATATTTGGGTATGTAAATACTTGTTAGATTAAGGCCACTTTTAAATGTTCTATTTATTTAATACATAATCCATAATGACCAAGGATTTTAACTTTATTTGTGAAATTTAATTCATGCAGATAAGTTTTATAAAAATTACAAAAAAAAACTGATATCTGAGAAATTAATACACCTATCGAATGTCTGCTTTATTTATATATATTTTACGATAACAAAGAAAATACGGCCTATTCTTCATACTGACTTTGTCAGGCGTAGTCCTCTTTGTATCTTTATGTTTAATTTCCTGTGTAAGCATATATAAAAGTTATTATATACGTTTATCATTCACTTATTAAGCATACCATATGAATTAAATCACTTAAGTAGCTAACAGTACGTACACATTTTTATTTTTCTCTCTGATACTGAGTTTATTTGCATTAAACTCACAGGTCAAAGGTGATACGAATTACAAACATAGAATAACTAAATAACGTTCATTATACAGTACTAAAAATGAAAAACTTATTTAATTTAATTCTGTTACTTTCATTACTTTGTGAAGTTTTGTGTTATCAGTGTGTGGACCTTAATAACAAACCTGTAGACTGGTAAGAATTGCCTGAAAATTTACACTTGTAATGGGAAATGATCGATCATTATAATTTGTAGGTTTTATGCTTATAAATTACCTCTTGAATCTAAACATGAAAATACGTTGATTGCTACCGGTGCTGCATACACGTATATGACGTCAAATAATTACCGCAGTGGGTGGATTTTGTCCCCAAAATCAATCAATGATACAGATTCGTTGGTAGGATTGACTTTAAAACCTGTGTTTGATTTAAAAAATGTAAGTTTTATTTATGCTATTATTATCAGTAAATAAGGATTAATAAATTGTTTGCGGAACGACGTTTTGCTGCATATATATTATGTTTCAAATTATTAATAGAATTATCAATTATTTGACAATTTTTGATTTACTGAAAATTAACATACTAATTGAAATTGTGCCATAAAGTGCTATAAAAATTAATGATACAGACACTGCATTGGTAGTAAATATGTCGGTTATTTTTCAATAAAAATGGCTTCAAAAATAAATTGCTTAAAAGAATGTGCACAATTGTTATTTAATTAGCCTTATAAAAATTATACCGAATTAAAATTTAATTGGATTTAAATCAATTCCACAAATTAAAAAAAAAATGGTCCAATTTTAATGTAGTGACAGTCAACAGTTTTTATTTTATTCTTAGAAATACCATCAAATTTTTATGCTAAAATAAATTGAAGTATAATTTTTATTGGTGCTGAATTAAAATTAACTAATAAAATTAATTGGCTCTACTAAAAATCTTGTTATTATAATAGTACATTTTAGGCATTTAAAATTATAACGTACAATTAAAATTACGATGTACATAATTTTAATTTTCTTTTCTTTAATTTTGGTATAATTTTAAACCTGTAAATATAATAGTAGCATTTTCTAACAAACAGTCATGTACTTATTTCATTATATCATTAAAAACTAAAATGTCGTGCCATAATATGTTTATCATCTTTTTCCTTATATTCAAATCATATTTAATCAAATTATTGACTGTTAGTTTCTATAAAATTAAAACTTCATAAACCTTTTAAGACAAATAATGGCTTATACATTCTATACAATGATGAACAACCTGAAGGAACGGTAAATTTTCGTAAGGGACATACAAAGGGGACCATTTTAGCTAATGAAAAGGGTGGCTTATGGCTTCTACATTCGGTGCCGAAATTCCCTTCAACAAATGCAGGGTCCTACTTTTATCCACACAACGGATACCAATATGGTCAAAGTTTTCTCTGCATTTCTTTTGATCTGATCAATTTAAACTTGATAGGTACTCTTCTACATGTTATTTTTAGGTCTCATTATTCTTTTATAAAATGTTTTATAAAAATTAGGGAAACAGTTGCAATACAATGAGCCATTTATATATGAACATAACATTCCTGATTCGTTAATGTCAACTTTGCCAAATATCGTGGATGTTATCAATGGACGAACCATGAATGGCTCTAGGCCATTTAATCTAGTCAATTTAAACTCCATAAATGGCACCAAATTTTGGTCTTTTGCTAAAGGAAAGCATTTTAACAAAGACTTGTATGAGGATTGGGTTGCTCCTGCATTCAACTCTAGTTTATTAGTAGAAACTTGGTTGAATGGAGCCGGTCGTCTACCCTCTGATTGCAAAAGAATGTTTCAGTAAGTTTTGCGATTTTTTAAAGTGTTTTTTAACTTTTAAAATTTATATTAAGTTTTGATGTGACAATTATCCTTGTTTACATTTTAGTGTGCAAAATATCGAGTCATTAACTATCAAAATAGCAAATTTATCATTTAGTTCTTCCAATGACCATTCAAAGTGGGCTGTAACTCCTTCTGATAATTCGCAATTTTGGACGTGCATAGGAGATATAAATAGAGCGGTAAGAATATTACAAATTGGCTTACTGTTTTAGGTGGTATTGATCAATTTTTATTATAGAAACCTCAAGAAAAGAGGGGGGGTGGAACTGTATGTTTTTCCAATAAAAACATTGCTGCAGCCTATCAGACGAGTATAACTACTTTAGAAAATTGCAACTAATATTTTTGTTAAATGATGTAGATACAATTGTGTTGGACATATTTATTTGTTACATATACATATCTACAGTCATTAGTATGTAGATTCTGATCTTAAATATTTATTAAATACAACAATTTAGCAAATAATTTTTTAATTCACTCTTTCTTGGGAAACCACTGTTCCTTTACGGAAGGTTGTGGACAACGATACTTCGCTATTTCTATTTCAGCATCGAAGAAACTAGATTGATGATAACAAAAGTATTCAGGATTTTTATATTCCCCATCTTTTTTAGCATTAGGTCCTACAGGTCCTTTAATCTCATTAATGACTGCACCACTAAGTCCTACCACTTTATTAAGATCGCCAATGTCTGACTGTGAAGGTGGGGGCCCCTTGTTAGTCTTTGAAGACTGTTTTGAAGGTGATTTGCTACTGCCTTGAGTCTTGCTGTATAAAATTTTACCAGCTGTGTATTGTCTTCCAACTGCAGCAAATTTACATTTAGAAGGAAAAGAAAGGATACTGTTTAAAATCATGTTTGGGAATCCAATCAATTACGTAAAATACAGTCTACAAAGTTGTTTTTATCTACTTTGACATTGCTGAAAGTGAGGTTATATCATAGATAAAGGTTATTTGGTAAGATTTATGGGTGAGGCATTCGATCATAGATTTTTCCATAGATTTAAGATTGATCCAAACTATACAATTGTAACTTGCCTATGGTTCTTAATGATTCTAACTTGTCTATGATTCTAACCAATAAAGTTATTGTGAAAGCCAAAAGTAAAAATTTCTTATTCAATCTCAAAATTATTTGTCGAAATTGTTGTATATTTTAAACCAATAGCTGTGTTCGTTTCACTTCAATATGGGAAAGAAGAATAAGCCTGTTTTCAATGGATATGCTTGTTTTATGAACGACTTTCAAAAAAAAAGCGGACAGAAATTTAACAGTAAAAAAGACTTAGCAGAAGCTGCGGCGTCCCACTGGGCAGTAAGTCTAAAGCATTGTTTATTTTTAAATCCTAGTAACCACTCGTTGTGTATTACATTTCAGAAACTAACCCAACAGCAGCAACAGGTATATAAAGATAAAGCCAAAGGTCTCAAAGGTGAAGCTGCAAGATACACTTCGCAGGGTGTTAATGTTGATATTATATTGGCAGAAGAAAATCGGAAAAAGCTAATTGAACAAGAAATGAATAACTACATTAATTCACTAATGATTTCATTAAGTGAAAGCAACGAATTTCCGTTTCAGATGTTTCATCTAATAAGCATAAATGAATTCTGTTTTTTTAATGGAAATAAGCGTTTCATTCCAGCTGAAATTGCTGTTATAAAGTTTAATTTACAAGATGGAGTTATAGCAGATAATGTTTTTCATTATATTATAAAGCCAGGTAGTACTAAAAGCAAATGTTGTTACTGTTATTAAAAGTGACACTACAAATATAATAATTGTAGGTAAGTTACCTCTTGGATATACCGCTGATGCTACAAAGATATCAAATGAAACTCATCAGTTGCCTGTTCCCTTGGGTATTGATAAGAGTGAAGACAACAGACATGAAGTTACAGAAGGACTTCTAAAATTTCTTAGGGTATATAGTGTAAATGATTTTAGGCTTTTTCTGTTTAAAGTGTTTATTTATTGTAGGCTGGTATTTCAACGGTTGAAAGGGATTTTCCTCCTCTTTTCTGTGAAGATAAGTATAGAGAAAAAGTGCAAAATGTTGTTAAGTATTTATTAATAGATCAAGGTATTAATTGAATAAATAGTTTTTGTATTTATGATTGTATATTTGTAATAATTTGCAGGCTATAGTGAAGATCTGATAAAAATTTACTCACTGGATTCTTTTTTTTATCAGCTGCGTAATACAACAGCTGATGGTGAAATTATTTGGCCAAGTATCACCTTAAGTACTCTAGAATTAGAACGTGATGTATATGATTATTGTCCAGGAATCGCATGTGATGTATGAAGAAAAAAGAATATAATATTACTTATACCAAATTTTCTTTTTCTTTTTTAGTTTCATGATAATTCAGATGTTCCAAACTTCTGTACACGTTCAAAAGTGGTTCGTCTTACATATATAATTTGTGAAAATTGTTGCCCTGTGTTGGGCATTACCCTTATTCCAGGTCATCATATTCCTGCAAGAGCTACCACGATTGAAGCAATTGTACCACAAAATGATTCCTTCTCAACTATCTCTGAAGTAAAATTGTACTGTATGTGATAGATAATTGTTTTTTGATTTATTTAAAAATTTTTTAGATTAGACAAGGTACTGGTAAACCTAAACATAGCGCTATTTCCTCAAGAACTTTATCAGAGGCATCATTCCACACTGATTTCACTTGTGAAGAGGATAATGATAATGCAAGCATCAGTGAGGTGAGTTGTTTTTTATTTTATTGTTTATGAGAGATTATTGTTGTATTTATTTATAATTTAGAGTAGCCAATATTCTTCTTGGATGCCAGTTCATTCTAGAAGACCTAGAAGGGATATGACATATGAAAATAGTGACCCAGTTACTAACATATCTGGTTTAACTCAGAGCGAATCTTTAAGTTCCAACGCAATTCGTAGACCTAAAATACCATGTAAGTTACTTTAACATTATCTTTCAAAAATGAGACTTCATTGTAGTGGATAAAAAAGCCATTATTATGTCATCCTGAATGGCACTCTAATTGCTTATTAATTTGTTTTTGGCTTTAAGCAGTACTATCAACGTTAAATACTTTTTTATTACCCATTTATGAAAATTATTACCAAAAAAATCTTTTTTACTTTCAGCTGCTGCTTTAGGAAAGGAATTTAGTCAAATGTTTTTAAATGATAATCATAGAGCACCAGGGGCAGGTAAATTATTATTTTTAATATTTTGTCTATTTTTTTTATATTATTTAATAATTTTGCGATCATTTAGGTTCTTCAAGTTCACTTCCTATAACCAGAGGTAAGTTATTTTTATATACTGCTGACCCTCTAATATTTAGGTGGATGATTATGATTGATTGTATTCAATTATGTTTTCCACAATTTGAAATAGTTTTCCAATGTAATGGATTTCCAGTTATATAATTCATTCTTGTATTCATATGTTCATGAACCCTATGATGTTAATCCTCAACTGAAAGTCCATTTTCTTGGAAACTACATTTACTAATGGGTCACGATAATTTTTAGAACATTATTAATTATATTTTTTTAAGGTCGGGGAAGAGGAGCGTTTGCAAAGCTGAAAGAAAAAAATTAGTTTATTATTTACTCCTTTTATTTTTTTACTAATGTTCATTTACTGTATTTTTTTCGTCGTTTGTTAGTTTTATAATTTAATATTAAAATGTATGTTCTCGAGCTTTTCTTTAAATGCTGTGACTTTTACTGATAGCAGTAAATAATTGTTTATTGTTAGTGAATTAAAAGGATATTGTGTTATACTTTGCAATGTCAATATATTTTATACTTACGTTTATATTCAATGAGAAATACTTTAGTTTAAGAAGTCATAAATAATTTGTTTGTTTTTATTCGTCAATTACTGGACAAATATAAATAATTTGCATTAATGTATTTTAATTAATGTTTTTCAGTTACAAAATAACCATTGTTATCGTTTAAAAAACCCCCATTTTCCTAATAGCAATTTCTTCTATTTTTTTTTTTCTTGATTGAATGATTTTTATTCTTTATTTCTGGTATTTGGTTTATTTTTGTATCACTTATTCTTTAAATTTTTCAACTTCTTCCTCTTTTGTTTTTCTGAATATCTCCCTTTTATTTGAGTTAATCCTATTATGTTAGATTTGTTACTTTTTAACGCTTAAATATTACCATGGTCCTGATACTTTTTATTGCTTTGTCGGGTTTTTATGCCCACAAATTCTTACTTATTTTTTTGACACAGTAATTAATAAGATACTTCTATTATTTTACATATGCATTCCAAACGTCTTAAAACATCTTATAATTTTATAGGAATCGTAGTAATTATTTAAATAAAATAATAGCTGGGTCCGTCGATATGCACATCACACAAAAACTGCTGGATAGATTTTGATCAAATTGTTTTAGTTTTATTACCTAAACGTCTGGTCTTTATCTCCAACAAAAATTATCAGGGTATTCTTAATGAAGTATAATACTAAACAGGCCTTTCTATCTGGAAGTTATTGCATTTATTCAAGTAAACAAGAATACAACTGCAAGCTTAATTAAATATTAACGGTCGATGATTATGAGCAAGCATTTGGATGCGTCTGTGACACTAAGGAACAAGCGACTTGCTTAAAGTTTCTTATGCTATCATTTTGAAGCACCTGGTCAAAGGTCTACAAAAAAAATAATTAGTAGAAAACATGAATATAACTATAGTTATAATTTCTTTTTTTCTTTGACAACAAAAGGCTATCAGTCCTAATAATACTTACTTTATTGTAAAGAATTGTAGGAACGAATTTTGGTTTTATCGCCTGCGTTTCTCGTTCAGCTTGCAATTGTAACATTGTTCCAATATTTGAATTGTAACATGTCATAATTTCACTCCACTGCAATCCTGCCTCTGTAGCACACTGAAAAAATCAACCTACTTATGCAATTCATTTTAAATGCAGTGAATTGGTTTTTATATTATGCAACTGTATCTTTTAGGGTGCGGTATAAACAAGGAAATGTGATATAATTATGCAGACAGTAAAACGCAATAACGTTTATCAGGTGAAACAGAAACACTTTATAATTTATGATTTGCATCTTTCTCTGTATTACATTTGTAGTGTTAAAATTTTGCTAAAGTAAAATAAAAACTTAAGTTTCTATTTTACAATTAATGAGAAAGGTAGTGTTCCAATTAGAGTAAATTTAGAATTTTAGTTTACAAGGATGTTAGTGCAATATTGTTAAAAATGTTGTAAAGCTAAAAAAGGGAATTTAAAAAGGGAGTTTTATTAAATGATAGAAGAAGGTAAGGCAATTAATGGAAATTGTACCCTTTCTGCAAATCCTAAAGGGTCATTTTCTTGAAAAAAAGATACCATTGCACATTTAACATATTCAACTTGAGTGGATTGATCGGGAATCCCCTGAAGGGCGCATGACATTATTTTGTTTCTGTTGCATTCCCCAGGTCCGTGTTGACACTGGAAACTTTCACCATCATTTATGCTCTAAAAAATAATTGTTTTCTCCCTTAATTGTTCATTTTCAATCATATTTGCCTATTGCTTTAAAACTTACTTGACTTTTACCAAAAGGTACAAAATGAATATTTATATACGGTTCTAGTTCTTTCCACGAAGGGTGCAATTGGTTCCTAACGAATCTTAAGCTATCAGGGCACAAAGCTTCATAAAGGATGTCCACATTTAACTGTAACAAATAAGGAAATATTAATGAGCGATTTATTATAAAAAATAATATGTTAGAGAGTCGGTAAATTGTTAATAATTTTCAAGAAATAGGTACCGAAATATTTTTTTCATATTTATTTTACATTGTCCGATTTTATGCAGCAGGAGCGTAATATATTGCGATATATGAATCTCTAACCGAGATTTTACTGTTATAAATCGCGTCCTTGTGCCGATTTTCTCATAGTTCATTATTCTTTATTTACCGTAGTTATTACCCTAGTTAAAAAAATGATTGAATACACTTCTTTATTTGCAAAGAATGTGTTCTTTCTTTCCAAGCTCATATTTCAGGAATTACCTTTTTTTCAATTTATGTAGACAATAAATAACAAAAGTAATATTTGAAGAATTAAGAATAATATAATTTATTTTCATATTTTACCTTTTAATTTAATTTTACTTATTCATAAATTATTTAATCAAGCCTACGGTATTAATAAATGTGTATTTTAAAAGGATCACAACGTTTAGAGTAATCTTTGTATAAAATGTGCATTTTAGGTGAATGTATTATCGACCTTGACAAGGGCACGGTCAAAATATCATTATCTCTCGTCACATCTGGGCACAAAAAAGGTACTTGATCACATGGAACAAACAATTGTGAACGCTGAAGTTGTTTACTTTTATAACTCTTTAAAAATAATGAGAATTATATCGCGTATAAAATATTCTTTCGGGCACACTTCATTAATTAATTCGTTATTGTCCTTGGACTTACTAAATGGGTTTTTAAAAAGTGTTGAACTGTAAGAATTAAAGTGAAATTGTGTTTTTAGAATTTATTTTTGATATAGCAAGAAAACCCACGGCTTAAAAGATGAATTTGTCATGCAGTAGGCGCAGGTAAAAATGTAGAAGTCGAATAAAAATTGTAATATTTGTGCATTATATTCTCAATAAGGTTATATTATTATCTGAATATTTATAGTTAATAGCCCGCTAAAGTTAACAAGCAATTATGTGGACAAACAAAAGAGTAATTACTTGGATTACAAAATGGCAGTTTTATTTTAAAATACGTTATTGTATTCTTAAATATTAATTAAGTAAGTTAAGTTAATATAAAAAGTAAATTAATTAGTGACGGCAAAGGAAACTTAAATTAATGATTACTGATTAGGAAAACGTTATGGGGTTTTCTTTTTTGATGGTAAACGCTGAATGGTTTTTGTATTTAAAGTTACCTTGAACTTGGATTGGAAAAAAATTGTGTACAAAATAATCAAGGCAAAAAGAGTAATAATGTCTTTATTGGTTATAGAACCGACAGTACTAATTCTACCTTACGTTAATTTGTTTGTTATTTGGCGCATATTATAGTATATATTGCAATTAATATATATATATATAATTAATAATAATAAATTTTTATTCCATGTAACTTTAGGAAGAATAAGTTGCTTCTTCTCGTTGTTGATACGCAAAAACTCGCACTTTTACCGAACTTCTGGCAAAACGCTTATAAAAGTATTTTATTCATGTTCAACTTTCATATTTTTTTTACGCCTTTTAATAACGTAAAATATTGTAATGTGATACGGAAGTACTTTGTTGGATTGTATTTATTTGTTTATCAGTTATTTTATAGCAATTTCTTGATACATTTACAGCAAATAAACAATAACTTCGTGCTTTTAAAGCGTACATACTAAAATATTGTGCTTGGTCATTTTTCTTTCAATAAGAACAAAATTTTTTCGCAATATAGAATGTATGTTTAACAAAAATGTAGGTAAAAGAACAATAAACTTCTACTTTTTTGGTAAATGTTTATCGATTAAAAGTGCAATACAATCCAACAAAGTACTTTCGTATCACTTTACGGTATTTTACATTGTTAAAAGGTGCAAAAAAATATGAAAGTTGAATATGAATATAATAGATACTTTTATAAGAATTTTACCAGGAGTTTTGTAAATAATATTAATTAATTGATCTTTAAATTCAAATTTAATGGGTTAACTAATCTTTTTATCTTTATTCTTTTATTATTGTATCTAATCTTTTGTTTTAAATAGGTACATTTCCGCACTTCAGTTATCTATTTTAACTGTTTTCATTGGTTTATCGCAATTCTTCAATTATTATTTTACTTAACGGAAATAATTACTAAATTTACATGAACAACTGATGTTGTATGTAGGTATCTATCAATAAATGAAAACAAACTTACTGTTTTCATTATTTGATGTTTTTACAATGAGTTTTAGTTTTACTTACCTTTTCTAATCCGTGCGCATCTTTGCAGAAAAATGAAAGAATTAGTATTAAAGTTAAGCACAATATATCTTTTTTAGAAACACTCATATTTACTAATACTTCTTTTGCCAATTTTTTTTATTGTTGTCCACGTGTTTTGTTGATGTAAACCAGACTAGGATTGATTTCTATTGAATATGTGTTTAAATATAAAATGAATGAGAAAAATAATCTCTTTATCGTATTTTTTTTTATTATTGTATCTGATCATTTGTTCTAAATACTTCATTTTTGCACTTCTGTTATCTATTTTGACTTTTTGATTGAATTTGTTTAATTAATTGATACCTTCAGATCGATTAGTAGTTATGTCGCAATAAGAATTCTTGTTATTTGATGGAAATAATGAATTAATTCATATAAGTAACCCATAAAAAATTGTTATTAACTTTGTGCGATATTAAAAGGAATGAGAAGATATTCAACAAACAGAAAAAACTGGTTGTTGGCATAATTTAGTTTTGAACTATAGATAGTTATATAACAACTTGTCGCTTTTTTTTTAAATGGTTTATAGTAGTTTTAATTGCTTCGTTTTGATTTTGCTTACCTTATTTAATCCATGTACATCTTTGAAAAAAAACGGAAAGACTAGAATTAAGGTCAAGCACAACATATTTTTTTTAAAAGCACTCATATTTATTACTAATTTTTCTTTTATCAATTTTTCTAATGTTGTACGTACAGACAGACACGTGTTTTATTGAAGTGAATCAGACAACATATAAGTTTAATCTAAACGTTTCAGTGAAAGTTAGTACAAGACTGCACCTATATGGTGTAATTATGACCAAGTAGCTTTGACAAATATTTAAATTTGACTGCCATTTAGTTGATAATTACGGTCACATAGGTAACACTTATTTATAATCCGGATTTTAGAAGTGTGAAAAATATATAAATAACACAAAGAAAACAGAAATTAACAAGAAATTTGCATGCTTTCATGTGTAAACTATCGGTATAGGTACTGGTACCTACGCAAATTTAATTGTTTTAAATTTATCAACTGAAATAATAAGCAATTATTAAATATTAAAATAATATTAACAAAGACGGTAGAAAGGGGGCTTGGGGTAGGGTTAATTTACCTCCAAAAGTGGGATCAACCCCTTCCAAAATTATTGTAAAAGAGGGTTAAGTAAATAAACCACAACTTTGAATAATAATTAAAAGTAGATACTACACATGTATTTAAGACATTCTTTTGATGTTTCTACTGTTTTTGACTGAAACAATTCTTTGAAACACCCTGTGTATATGTTTAATATTTTCAGTTATACTCTGCGTTCGTGTGGTTGTTACTGAAGCAATTTACACTGTAAAATGCATTAAATCTTCTAATTTTTACTAGTAACTTCGCCCCAATGAAACTTGAGTTATATCGTATCTAGACCACTCCTGAATGTTTATTCATGTCTATAAAATCCCGTTGAAACATTTTTAATTGTCTTAAAGATTAACTCGTACTGGCAGACAGACAGACAAAAATTTTTTGTAAAGGTAGTTTGTACCTTAACAACATACAAATAATAAATAACATAAAAATGCCAATTATTTTGATATGACAGCTAGACACTTTAGTTTTATCTGTACGTATGTACGGAGATTAATATGTAAAATATTTGCAACAAATATTGTTATTGCAATATCAAATAGTAAGTTGAAGTATAGACTCAAAGTCAAGTATGAGGTAAAAAGTTTTTTTATTATAAAAACGACCACCGACGTTTCGCCTTTGTTAATAACTCTATTAAAGCATGTTTTTTAAATTAATACATTGTGTTACCCTGAAGCAGCAACTTAGGCGAAACGTCGGTGGTCGTTTTTATAGTAAAACCACTTATTATCCTTAAGAGGAAAGAAAGGACTTTTCAATCAAATTTTACAAGATGTCTCCTAAAAATATTACCAATTTATTAGTTTTTCCACATAATATTTTGGAGCTTGTTCGAGAATAGTATTGAGTTTCATGCAAAAAGTTATTTTAGATAGAAAAATCGTTTGCTAATTTTCTTTGTACTCACTTTATTAGTTGTAATATTAATGTATATTGGGTTGCATATATATTATATTATAAATTGTAATTTAATTGTTACAAAAACAATATAAATTAGCAACCCTAACTGTATCTACTAAGAAAAAAACCTTGATTAAAA